AACGCAAAGACATTTCGAGAATATGCTTCGCATTACACGTGTAAGAGGGGTTGCGCCCCGGAGAGTTAAAGCGGTTTATAGTATCAAACGCAAACATCTTGGAACGCATGACGACCTGAATTTTAACTCTACGCTATATCCCCGCATCTCGTCGCAGTGGAAACACCGAAATTACGAGTATACGTTCGCGGAATAAATTACAGCGAGAGGCAGGCTCGCTCGTTTCAGGCGACGCGGGCGAAGTTACGCGAAAGGATAACGGAGCGAAGCTCCAATCGGCGGGAGATATTCCGCGTCTCAAGGAAGGTCGAGATAAGCCATGCGCGAAGATCGTTCCTTACGATTTAGCACGTTCGAGTGGAACGATTAGACGCGAAACTGCGTTTCTTCCAAAGCAAGTGCATGCATTTATCGCGGAAGATCACGTTGATGCGTTGGCGTCCGAGGTGTCGCAATATTCCCTTCCCTTTTTCATTAACATTAAGCGGAGGAAAGAGAATATAACGTCAAATAACGTCGTCGGAGAACGAGATGGAGACGAAAATGGAACGTGGAAAAATTGATTATCAAGGATGTGTGTCATATCTCAAACATCAAAAATATAAAATTTTCATAGATCGTTCTATTTGTTATATTTGAATATCTACGCAAAATTTGAGCAATTCTCTTGTTAGTTTAAAAACTATTTAATTTCTTTGTTCATGTAAAATCGCATCTTGCACTATTTGCAAATTTGATGAGGAAATTAAATTAAATTTTTTACATATATTAATAAAACTCTAGAAATATTCGTGCAAAAGTTTTGGATCTGCTCGCTCGTTTAAAAGTTATTTATCTAAAACTATAGCAAGATATGCGCAATATTCACAATATACTACGTATTATATATAAACCAAATGATTTGTTTTGATTTTGCAGCTTCAGGACGTATTCAATACCAAAACTTTTTGTATCTTTTTTTAATATGTAAAATATTTTGTCATTAATTAGGAAAAAGAAAGGAATTTGTAGGAAACTTGAAGTTTTTAAGTTTCAATAATTTTTAACTGATATAACCGCAATATCCTTAAGGATCACCGATCATCGAAGAGCCGTGACGCTCTTGGAGACGCGCCAGAAATTACGACATTTTCACGTCGCGACAATGAGTTATGGTCGTGAAACATTATTTACGCAGTCGCGCGGACATCCCCGTTACAAAGAGATCTCTATATGCGCGACGACGGATTTACACACCCCTTGTAAGCCAATTATGATGAGCGCGCGTTAAAACATTTCGAGATTCTCGCATACTCACATTAAATGGCATAAATTAAAACGACCTTTCCCCTAATGCACACATCGGCCAGCGTTTCTCAACTTCTTTTCCGATATCTCGGGGGAAAAGTAAACGCGACCCTCGGCGACACGAGGATCCATGCGCGAGAGGCTGGTGCATTTGCATCTGCCCGTGGATGGATAATCCATCTTCCGATCCTGTAACTCGTGTAGAACTTATCGCGATACTTATCTCTTAACATAATCGATACCGGCGGAATATGAATGATGCATGTCTGGGTGTCGTGTTACGCTACTAATTTTACGATCCCGGTTAAGCCACCGATGTTTCGAGAGACAAACGCAGAGCGAAGGAAACAGAGTGACGGTGACGGATAAAGACGCGACGTAAAAATCAAGCCGCGTAAATCCTCCGTTGTGTTTGAAAACGTCAAACGTCGGACGGGCGATTAGATAATTATTTATATCACAAGCGGTCGCGCGAGGCTCGGGCCTCACGCTTCGAAGAAAGAGAAAAAGAAGGGAAACATTACCCCCTGGTGATGTTAAAATATTTAGTCGTTCGCGCGCGCGCGCGCGCGCACACACATGTCCGCGCGCGAGCTTCCGTTTTGTCAATTTCGTGACCTACATTCAATTCCATTCGGGTCTCCGGAGTAAGCCGGAAGCGGAACACCGCAGACGCAAGGCGTTCGTTCGATTAGACCGTAGAGGGGAAAAAAAGAGGGAGAGAAGAACGAAAAAAATCGACGAGAAAACGAAGAGAGACGGGGAGAAAGGTCGAGCGAGACACGAGAAACACGGGAGCGCCACTCCACGAGGGGGTCGATGACCCGAGATGCCACCTGTGCGTCCTAAACCGGTCTCGTTTTCCGCGTTTGTTCTCGGTGACACACTGTGGCGTTCCCCCCTCCCCCTCTCCCATCCTCACTCCTTTGACAATAGCGCCGGGTTTCGTTTCTCTTGATAATCCGGGAAAAACTCGTCGCCGAATACGCGACGTGCAACAAGTACCATGTGTCTATAAGCGGATACTCGACTTTTTGAAGTTGCCTGAAAACATTTTGATATATCGCCTCTTTAAATGACACATCTTCGCAGCGCACCACACTTTAAACGACGTGCGTGGACGTGCACAGAAGCGAAAGTCTCCTGCGTGCGTGCATGCATGCGTGCGTAACGCGTCAGCTGTTCGAGTTAGAAACGGAAAGGACGAAGAAGCGCGGCCGCGCGCTCTCGAGACGATCGCGTTCCTCGACCCCGCGGAAACGAGGCTGGCCGAGCGGCGCGACCTCCGGGGTGGAGGGAGCGGCGAAACCTCCGCGGAAGATGGCGGGGGTTGGCGTGAGATTAGGAGGTTAGGTTATCCAATGCCGCTGGACCGGGATCGAGACGCGGAGTTCCCAACTCGCTCTCGCGAGTCGATTTATCTCGTTACTACGGGGAATTATCGCGGGAGAGTGCGGTGTAACCGCTCAGTGGTTTCGTGCCGCTCTCGCGAGAACGCGGAACACCGCCGCCGGACCAGGTCGATAGAAATGGCGCCGTCGAATAGGCTGGCAGGCAGGCAGAAAATCAATCGCGTGTATGACACGCGGCGTGTTTTTCCGCGCCTACTCCGTTTCTTGCGAGCGGGATCGGAGCTCGCGAGCTCGCTTGCGAAACACTCGAAACCGGTCGAACGATTCCTCTCTCTCTCTCTCTCTCTCTCTCTCTCTCCTCCC